TGAAAAACAATGTGTTTATGATACATTTTTACATTTTTACAGGTTCTAAACGAGATATAGTTAGCTGAACTGGCGGCCAAATCGCTCATTGGTTTGTAAAGGTTGCAGACTCCTGAACTTGAGCTAACAATATTTTTCCCTGTGTTGCCATCTAGTGGCCATTAAATATATTGCAAGCGCACCGCAGCTGCCTTTCTCCGATCGAAACTGAGATCAACTTAACTGTTAAATGTCACACATCTGCCTGGCTCTCTTTTTGTCTCAGGAAACGCACGCTTCCGCCTTTTGTTGCCTCAAGTAACTGATTTTCCATTTCCCCACCAGTCACCAGCTCGGCAAGCCGTTAGAATAAAAGGTGAAGCTGCGCCTGGTTCAACAATGTTCAGACAAATATGAAGTTTGTTCTATTTTTAGACGCCTTATCGTTAAACGAACGGCGCAACTGCAAGGCTGCCCAACCAGCTCTGTGTGCAGAAGAGGAAGCTTGCTTTCATTTTCTTAAAAGATAGGCAAGGAAGTGATTTGGAGTAGCTAAAGTGCGGGGCAGTTAGAAAGTTTTTCTGAAGTGAGGGTCCTGATGGAGTTTTCTGATCACATCAAGACGGCCAACGTGGAGGATGTTGTGCTCCGGCAGCCGCTGCACCCACCGAGCCGAGGGACCCTGTGCATCACCGGCCACCACCTGCTCTTCTCGGAGAGGGAGGAGGGCAGCTCCCAGCAGGTTCTGCTGCTGCTCAGGAACATCGATGCCATTGAGAAAAGGTGAGGCTAGGAGGGGTCGTTTCTCCTCACCTAATTGACTTCTTAAAATAAGGATTTGAAACAAGAATGTTGGTTTCTTTTATTTTTCAGTCCCTACAACTTAATTCAGGCTGAATGTTAGCTCCTTTAATATACTAATTCCACATTACACCATCGACCATGACATCTCACGTTGTTGACTTTTACACTTCCAAACCTGTGAATGAACTAATCATGACTGTGTCATTTGATCCCACTATGTCTAATTCACTTCCTTAAATCTGTCCAACCAGTGTGGAAAACCTTTTGGGCTATTCCAGCTTCCTCTCTAATGCAGCCCACGGTGACAGGTTGGGAATTGTTGGTGTTGCCATGTGCCTGCAGTGTTCTGCCTCTGCTAAAAAAGGAAATTTCCTAACAAAATTACAGCAACTCTTTGCAACTTGTCGCCGGCCACATGCTTCATTGTCTCCTACGCCTCTTGCTGCCGCTTGATTTCATTGCCTTGTGAAAGTATTGCTGAAACTATTTGAAACTATTTTGGATAGCCTTCTTAGAAAAGCATGTCTTCCAGTGAAAACCAGACTGGTTGGGTTAGCCCTTCCTCTTCTGCTGCAAGTTGAGCATCCTACATTGCTGGTGCCAAAAGCATGGTCTTGGAATAACGCTTTGAATGGACATGGGAAGCTATGTATTTGTAAAAAAAAAAAAAACGTGTGGATACTTACTTTTATGTGTACAGGATGTCTGGATCCTCAGGGACAATTACCATCAAGTGTAAAGATCTGCGGGTGCTTCAGCTGGACATTCCTGGCATGGAGCAGTGCCTCAACATCTCACGCTCCATTGAGGTGCTTTATAGCAATACCTTAACAAAAGCACAATAGATCAGACTTTTTTTGTGCTAAATTATGTTCTGGGACATCAACATTCACGAGATGACTCTTTTTCTGCAGACCCTGTCCTGTCTGGACAATGTGTCGGAGATGTATCCTTTCTTTTACAGACCCACTGACCTCAGCCTGCAGGACCAGTGGGGCCTCTCGACCCCTGAAAAACACTACACTCAAATGAAGGAGCTGGTAAGCAACTTATATATGTTGTATACTTGCCTAACATAACTTGAAAACTGCTGCGTGTAAAGCGTGTCACAGAAGCCCTAAAAGGCGACCATTTTTTCAAATGCAATCTAACAGGCATATGGCAGGAAAATGCCAGGGGGAGTGAATGCAGAGGTCACTTTTCAGGATATCCCTGTTGCTTAGCTTTCATTTGTTTTCCCCTAACACCAGAACAGGCTAACACACAGCTTTAGTTCATGTCTTCTTCTGGGATTAGCGTGTTACCATGGCAAAGGGTTGGGCAGTGTGGATTTTAATTGTTTAAGTGTTTTATGGGCACAGTATTCTTTAAGTAGGTGGGATGTATGTATCAGGTTGGCCTGGTTACTGGGAGAAACTGACTGGAATTTGGATGTCTTGACGTTTCTTTTCCCAATGATTCTCGTTGTTTCCGTTGGTTGTTTGAATCCTTTCTACAGCACCTTGCAAATAGTCAAATTTACTGTTTCTCTGTAAATCTCGAACATGTTAAAGAGCCCATATCTTGAGCACATATACCAATTTATGTCTCACAGTGTTTTTCACAGATTAATCTAAGCAAAAGATAACAAATGGTGTCTTTAAGACACATTGCTACCAACATAGGGCCTGGAGATCAAATTTAAAATTGTAGGCACAACACAGGTTCATTCTTTGACTTATCAACTTATAAACAATCAAAAATTCCTCTGAAAATTAGCATGTAGGAGGCAGGTGATAACTATAGATAAAGACAACTTTAAAGAAATTTCAAAATGCTTGGCTTGTTCAAAGCCGAACATTAAGAAATATTTTTTGCACCATAACAAAAATTATTTCTGGAGCAATGTTGTGGCTTAGAGTTTGTACGTGGATAACAACCCACATTTATTGAAAGCCTGATACAACAGAAGTATGACTGGAATGTTCCTTTCCATATCTATCCATAAACTATACCCAGTTATCTTAGCTAAGCATGAATCAGATTTGGTGATTACAGATTCTTTAGTTCTTTGAGACCATCTTATATGTAATCTGTCTTTATATTCAGCATGAGAGATGGAGACTGAGCAGCGTTAACAAAAGCTACTCTGTGTGTCCTTCCTATCCTCCGGCGGTCATTGTTCCAAACTGCATCGACGATGAAACGCTGAAGAAGGTGGCCAAATTCAGGCAGGGTGGCCGCTTCCCTGTCCTGTGCTACTATCACAGAAAGAATGGCATGGTGAGGGTGTTATGCTGGCCAGTAGAGTGGCTTTCAAGATTTTCCTTACCTTTTGAACTTTTCACATTTTTCTAATGTTAAAAACACAAACTTCAACTTATTTTATTCAGATTTTATGTTATAGAGCAACACAAAATAGTGCAGTGGAAGATAAAACAGTCTTGGTATATATTATTTAGCAAAAACAATCTGAAAGGCCTGGCATGCATTTGCTTTCATTTCAGAATAAACCCGGCTGTTCTATGAAAACCTTAGAGGTTTGTTAGAGAACATTAGTGAACAAACAGCATCCTGAAGACCAAGCAACACAGCAGACAGGTCACAGGGAGAAATTTGTGGAGAAGTTAAAAGCGAGGTTAGTTTATAAAACATGACCCTAAACGTTGAACATCTCATAGATCACTGTTAAAACCAGCATCCAAAAATGGATAAAACACATTTAGGTTTGTGGTTGTAACCTGACAAAATGTGAAAAGGTTCAGGGGATAGGAACACTTTATCAAGCATCATTTCAATTCTAACTTGGACTGTATTTTCTCAGGTAATCATGCGCAGCAGTCAGCCGCTTACGGGTGCCAACAGGAAACGTTGCAAGGAAGATGAACTCCTCCTTCAGGCTGTGATTGAAGACTCAGATAAAGGTTTCATTATCGACACCCGTTCGAGTCAGCAGGTTCAGCAGGCACGTATGACAGGCGGAGGTTTTGAGTCCAAATCGTTCTATAACTGCTGGAAGAGACTTCACAGACAGATGGAAAGGTTTGTTGAAAGTGTGTTGTTAACTTTGTAGATCTTTCAGCCAGAGCTAACTTCTCAGTCTTCATTGTCTTTGTGTGTTTAGGGGTAAGGCCCTCCAGGAGAGTCTGATCAAACTGGTGGAGGCCTGCAGTGATGAGTCCCACAATGTTGACCGCTGGCTCAGTAAGCTTGAGAATTCAAAGTGGCTGTCTCACGTCCAGACTGCTCTGTCCACAGCTGGCCTGCTGGCAGAGTGTGTGGAGAGGTAGGAGCAACACCTACAGCCTGTTTCTATGATTAGGTTACACTTGATGTGCACCTAAATTTGTACAATAACAACTGAATAAACAATTTTAGCATCAGAAACCTCACAAACAAATGCAATGATCTAGAATTATTAATAGTTGGCGCGGCGCTGATGGTGTAGGGGTTAAGCGCGCGACCCGGGTTCGCGATTCGAAGCGGCCGTCCCGGGTCCGAGTCCTGGACCCGGCGACATTTGCCAAATGTCTACCCCTCTTTCCTGTCTGCCTACTGTCAAAAAAAATAAAAAAATTAAAATAAAGGCCACTAGTGCCGAAAGAAATATCTTTAGAATTATTAATAGCTATTATGTCTGTAAAGTTTAAAATAACTGAGTACCGATCCATCATTGGGGAGGTGAGTAAGCATGGCAATGGAAAAAAGAATAAAATCAGAATAAGTATAAAAAGATGAAGCTTAAACATTTTTTTATTACTGATCTACTTTGAAACTACTAAAGAAATGTGTAAATTTTGTAATTTCTATAGTTTGATATTATTGAAAACAATGCAATGCAATGAAAGGAGCAAAATTACACAAAAATGTTAGGAAAGATAAACAATGGAGAAAGGATGTTTGTGCTTTGTGCCCAAACTTCTAAAACATTCTACATTAAAGAATCATGATTCTTTTTTCATTATGAAAGCATTGTTTTTGTTCAGGGACGGACATTCAGCTCTGGTCCATGGCTATGAAGGTACCGACTGCAGTTTGCTCATCTGCACTCTGGCCCAGCTCATCATGGACCCATTCTGCCGCACACTGGAGGGTTTCCTGGCTCTTCTGGAGAGGGAGTGGGTACAGGTGGGGGTCTCAGTGTGTGTATGAGAGAAGAAAGAAGGTTCTAAACCTTATTTCCTTAAAGGAAACTGTTTACTCAAATAATCCCTATTTAAAATTTTTACGAAGGCGCAGTGCTGGTGGTGTAGGGGTTAAGCGCGCGACCACTTATAAAGGCTATAGTCCTCGATGCTGCTGTCCTGGGTTTGAGTCCCAGACCTGGCGCCTTTGCCAAGTATCTCCCTCTCTCTCTGCCCCTCTTTCCTGTCTGCCTACTGTTGAAAAATGAAATATAAAGGCCTCTGGTGCCTAAAAATGTCTTTAAAACTGTAAAGAAGACAAACTGTGATTTTGAGATTTTTCACATTTTCTGGAGTTATAACCAAAAACCTCAATGACTTTTGTTGGGATTTTACAGTGGCTTGTAAAAGTATTCATACCCCTTGAACTTTTCCACATATTGTCACATTACAACCACAAACATAAATATATTTTATTGGAATTTTATGTGAAAGACCAACACAAAGTGGTATACAATTGTGAAGTGGAACGAGAATTAAACATGATTTCTTTTTTTTTTTTTACAAATAAAAATCTGAAAAGGGCATTGTGCAAATGTATTCAGCCCCCCTGAGTCAATACGTTGTGGAACCACCTTTTGCTGCAATTACATCTGCCAGTCTTTTAGGTTAAGTCTCCACCAGCTTTCCAGTGACTGAAATTTTTGCCCATTCTTCTTTTGTTTTAAACCATTCTATTGTAGCCCTGGCTTTGTGTTTAGAGTTGTTGTCCTGCTGGAAGGTGAACCTCCGCCCCAGTCTCAAGTCTTTTGCAGACTCCAACAGTTGTCTTCTTCAAAGATTTCCCTGTATTTGGCTCCATCCATCTTCCCATCAACTCTGACCACCTTCCCTATCCCTGCTGAAGAGAATCACCCCCAGAGCATGATGCTGCCACCACCATATTTGACAGTGGGGATGGTGTGTTCAGAGTGATGTTAACTGTTAGTTCTCTACCACACACGTTTTGCATTTTGGCCAAAAATTTAAATTTTGGTCTCGTCTGATCAAAGCCCCTTCTTCCACATGTTTGCTGTGTCCCCAACATGGCTTCTGGAAAACTACGTATGGTTTTCTTTTAATAATGGCTTTCTTCTTGCCACTGTTCCATAAAGACCACATTTGTACAGTGCACGACTAATAGTTGTCCTGTGGACAGATTCCCCCACCTGAACTGTGGATCTCCTCAGTTCGTCCAGAGTCACCATGGGCCTCTTGGCTGCATCTCTGATTGGTTATCTCTTTAAACTTCTCCACAACTTTATCCCAGACCTGTCTGGTGTGTTCCTTAGACTTCATGATGCTGTTTGGTGCCTAATATTCTCTTAACCAACCTCTGAGGCCATCACAGAGCAGCTGTATTTGTACTGAGATTAGATTACACACAGGTGGACTCTATTTAGTCATTAGCAATCATCAGGCAACTTCTGAAGGCAATTAGTTGCACTCAGAGTAAAGGGGGCTGAATACTTTTGCACACGCACTTTTCAGTTTTTTATTAGTAAAAAATGTTTTAAATCATGTATAATTTCCGTTCCACTTCACAGTTGTATGATCACTTTGTGTTGGTCTTTCACATAAAAATCCAATAAAATATATTTACGTTTGTAGTGGTAATGTGACAATATGTTTAAAAGTTCAAAGGGTATGAATACTTTTACAAGCCACTGTATCTTTGCAACTTTCAGGCTTGTTCATTCTTTTCTTTTGTCAGTTGCAGGGCATGATTATAATTTGCCTTGTCTTTTCCTTTCTGTAGACACAGTTTGCTTTCAACACCAGCCACTGCAGTTCCTGTGCCCTCTGAACATGCCCTCATCCGGTAGCTGCAGTCCTCAAGGAGCCCACAGCTTCAGCAGTTTAGCGGACTGAACCCCTGCAGAGGGCATCTCAGTGGAAGAAAGTAAAAAACCTCAACGCTACTTGTATTTACCCATGGATTTAATGTACTTTAGTGCAGATCATATCATGTTTGGATGTTTTAGTACAGCAATTTAAAGGTAAACTACAGGGGTTGGACAATGAAACTGAAACACCTGGTTTTAGACCACAATAATTTATTAGTATGGTGTAGGGCCTCCTTTTGCGGCCAATACAGCGTCAATTCGTCTTGGGAATGACATATACAAG